TGGGCGTGGCTTATACAAAGGTGGTGCTTATACGTGGGGAAATACGGTATTTTACTCGATCCATGCCACCCCATCTGTGCAACTCGAGGCGTTATTATCCCTCTGCTTCTGGGTGGCTAATTCGAGGCTAAAGCCTCTGAGTAAGTCTCATGGTCAAGTCTTTGCTACATGGACCATGTCTCTGGTAAAATCTATCCTGTTTCTATCTCAAATACCAAGTCTACTACATGCTATGCCCTAATGTCTTGTCTGCAAACCTACAAATTTTGTGATTCAACATTTAGCCTAATCAAAACAAGCAGTATCACAACATTTGTGTGTTGGCACACATAGGAAGTCATAGACTTGGTATTAGGGATAGAAAAAAAATACATGCGGCAGAGACTGGATCTATCTGACTGACAGTTCGTCTGTTCTACCATTGACGTGGTCCATGTAGCAAAGGCTTGACTATAGACTTACTCAGAGGCTTTAGCCTCGAATTATTCACCCAGACGTAGTGACAATAACGCCTCGAGTAGCACGGATGAAGTAGCAGGGGTCGAGCGAAATAATATTTTGATAAGGCCTAAGGAAAAAGGACTGCGTAAAAATATGGCAGAATGATTAACATTCCCAGCATGAGGGTGCAGGGGAGGTGAGAATGCCAATGTAGTGTGGAGGGTTCTTATGAAAGCCGCTCAAATGGGTACACGACTAGATTTAAATAAGCTGAAAAATTGTAGCAATGAAGGCTTGTACGAGGATATAAGAGAGGTAAATACCTCAGGACAGAAGGAGAGATACCACAACTGTTTAGCACACGTTTGGTCAAAGGATCTATTTTATCTGTCTCTGACGAATTGTAGTATGATGCTAAGACTGAGAAAGCTCATTAACGATGCCGGCGACACGTCTGGGAATGTACCACGTCTACGGTCCGACTGGAAATTATCATGCATACAATGGATTCTGGACTAGGTGCGTTCCTCTAAATCTTCCTTCCAATATGACCAAGTTACGAAAACAAGGTCAAACAACTTCTTGATGTTATTTGATTTGAGAATATTGGCTTTGTACAATTGCATATGCTTTACTACGAACATAATTTAATCGATCCTTTTTTCAGGCGCGTCTTCGCCGTGCCCTAATATCTGGGCATCTTAGTTCGGAAGCACTTCAACATATCGCATTATCGGCAAATGTAGCAGCTCGTAGTTGTGCACCTATTAGTAAAATGGGAAACATCTCTTCAGATATCGATTCTATAATACCTACTGCTGACACCTTGGTTGGAATAATTGAATCTACACATGATGCATTAGCTGAAGGCATCGGAGACCGGCAACTTTTATTATCTATTTGTTCTACGGCGTCTGCCGATTCTCGGGCTAGACATCAAACAGCCTCGGCCAACCGAGCAAGGCGTTCGGCTCTTGGATTTGCCTGGAAGCCGGGAAATTCAGATGTAAAATCTTGTGAGCTCA